CTCAGTGGCGTGATATAGTGTCTCAATGTGGTTTTGATTTGCATTTCTCTAATGTGGAGTAGCAATTTCTTTAGGCGGGTTGCCTGGAAAGTCTGTGTATCTAATGTTCTTGGGTCTCTGCTTGGCCTGGCTCTGCCCACACTCCACATAGCTCTGTTTGTCAGACTAAAGGCCCTGATTAGAGTGAGTTCAAGTGGGGATCTCCTGGCCCAAGGGTTGCAAAGATCCCTGGGACAAGCGTGGATTTCCAGGGTTGCAGACTAACTCACTGCTTCCCTGATGGGAGAGGTTTCCGTGGCTCCATGACACTCCTGAGTGGACTGTCGTCCTGCCTTGCTTTTCTCTGTTCTCCATAGGTGGAGTTGTTTAATTGGTTAGACCCAATGTGTATACCTGGATGTTTCAGTTGAAGACGTTGTATTTATTCTCTTCTCCTTGAGAGCCGGACACACTAGCTGCTTCTAGGTTCGTTTATTAGTCCGTTCTCACGCTGCTATGAAGAAATACCCAAGACTAGGTGATTTATAAAGGAAAGAGGTTTAATTGACTCACAGCTTTGCATTCCCAGTGAGGCCTTAGGAAACTTAGAATCATGGCGGAAGGCAAAGGAGCAGCAGGCACCTTCTTCACAGGGTGGCTGGATAGAATGAGTGCAAACAAGGGAAATGCCAGATCCTTATAAAACCATCAAATCTCGTGAGAACTCACTATCACAAGAACAGCCTGAGGAAAGCTGCCACATGATCCAATCAGCTCCCACTCTGACATGTGGGGATTATGGGGATTACAATTCAAGATGAGATTTCGGGTGAGGACACAGCCAAACCATATGAGTCAACCATCTTGGCTGCTCCCCTTTCTATAACTTTAAGGCCATCATTTCACACAATGGAGAATAATACCTCAGTTTTCTTATTGAGCTTTTGTGCCTTTGAAAATAAAAATGTTCTACTTACAATATTCACTATTTTAGTTGAAAATTTTAGGTTACTTTTTCATCGTGTAATGTTAGACGCCTTTAGACATTAACTTTGTGTTTGTTGTTTAAATACTGTGAATATTCATTTTCTAGTTCTGCAAAGGGACTGTTTTAAGGATATCTTTTACATTATATAAAATAGTGTTCCTGGCAATAGAGATAAATTTCATCCTTTATCATAAAGTACCCTTTTCCTTTACTTGATGTACAGAGGCAGTTGTGACAGTAAGTTGGCAGAAAATGTGCCATACCACCCTCTTGCATATTTTTCCTGCGTCATGAAGTTCTCACTTTGTCATTAAAGTAAATCATATCTCTGAGATTTTAGAAACAAAACCAATAACCTAGCCTTATTCCCTACAGAAGCAGTTTTAAAGATAGTGGAAATAATGTTTTATAATTAAATTTGAATACCAGAGTTCTAAAACTGTATCTTTAAAGATAAAATTGAAAAAACTATTGTGTGGGTTTTAATTTTTACTATTTTTGTTACAATATTGCCACTGAAAGCATATTAGAATGTTATATTGATTTTTTTCTTTTTGTCATATTGACTTTGATACCCAAAATCTTTTGCTTTGCTTTAAGGGATATTGATTGATTTATTTATTTAAAAGACAGGGTATCACTATAATTTTTTTTATTGCGTTTAGGTTTTGGGGTACATGTGCAGAACATGCAAGATAGTTGCATAGGTACACACGTGGCAGTGTGTTTTGCTGCCTTCCTCCCCTTCACCCACATTTGGCATTTCTCCCCAGGCTATCCCTCCCCAGCTCCCCCACCCCCCGCTGTCCCTCCCGTTCCCCCCAGTAGACCCAAGTATGTAGTGCTCCCTTCCCTGTGTCCATGTGTTCTCATTGTTCATCACCAGCCTATGAGTGAGAATATGCGGTATTTCATTTTCTGTTCTTGTGTCAGTTTGCTGAGAATGATGTTCTCCAGATTCATCCATGTCCCTACAAAGGACACGAACTCATCATTTTTGATTGCTGCATAATATTTCATGGTGTATATGTGCCACATTTTCCCAGTCCAGTCTATCATCAATGGGCATTTGGGTTGATTCCAGGTCTTTGCTATTGTAAACAGTGCTGTAATCACTATATTGATCAGACTAGTCTCGAACTCCTGACCTTAGGTGATCTCCCTGCCTCAGCCTCCCAAAGTGCTGTGATTACAGGGGTGAGCCACCACACCCGGCAAGGGATATTATAAACCATATTTAGAATCATACAAATACCAAAATGAGTTTAGTCAAAATCTACACTGATGAGTTACTAATACATTTGTTAACCTCTTTTGTCAGAAAAACTACAGTGATGAAAATCAGCTTTCACCTTTTACATATAATTGGTTGAGATCAGATGCTGATGTTAAAAGTACATCAACAGGAAAAGCTGAAAATTAGAGCTGTATGGAAAAACACTGGAACCAGTTAGCTCTTTTCAAAAACCATGTGACCACCAAGTATAGGGGAGAAAAGTAGATTTGACCATGAACTGACCTCAAGTCACTTAATAATGGAAAGAAACATCAAGATGGCTCTTCTTAGAGTTTTCTCAGGTGTTTGATAATAGCCAAAAACACCTTGGAAATTACCATATCAGTGTTTGAGAACTCATGTTAGATTATTTTTATTTTTCTTTTTTATTGTTCTAAAATTTTATTTTATGATGATTTTCAAACATACATAAAATTTGAAAAAAAATTGTACTCTGAGCACGTATGTTTCCACTACCTAGATTCTATAATTAACATTTTGATGTATTTTGTTTATCATGTAACTATCCATGCATTGATTCTATTATCTATCCATCAACTTGTGTTACTGTTTTTTTTTTTTTTTTGTTGTTGTTGTTGTTGTTTGAGACAGAGTCTCGCTCTGTGGCCCAGGCTGGAGTGTAATGGTGTACTCTCAGCTCATTGCAACCTCCGCCTCCTGGGTTCAAGCAATTCTCCTGCCTTAGCCTCCCAAGTAGCTGGGATTACAGGTACACAACACCATGCCTGGCTCATTTTTGTATTTTTACGTAGAGACGGGGTTTCACCATGTTGGTCAGGCTGGCCTCAAACCTCTGACCTTGTGATCCATCTATCTCATCCTCCCTAAGTGCTGGGCTTACAGTCATGAGCCACTGCGCCAGCTCGTCTTATTGTTTTATATATTTAAAATTAAGTTGTACACACCCAATCACTCCAGCCCTGAACACTTCAGCATACATATCACTAATTAGAGTTCAGTATTTGTTTATTTTTTTAGATAAAATTTACAGACAGTGAAATGCCCAGATCTTAAGTGTACCATTTAATACGTTTTGACAAATGTGTAATAAGAACCCTATCAAGATAAAAGACAAAGTTCCCTCATGCCCCATCATAGTCAAGTCCTGACCCCACTCCCAGTCTTGTAATATTTTTTATCATAGATGAACTTTTTTTATAATTTCATATAAATGGCATCATAGAGTATGTACTCTTTGGTTGGGGCTTTCACTCAGTATAATGGTTTTGTGATTCATTCATGTCGTATTTAGCAAGTAATTATTTCTTTTCATTGGTGAATAGTATCCATTTTATGGATATGCAACACTTTGTTTATTCATTCTCTTGTTGATGGATACTTGGATTATTATAAGTTTGGGGCTATTAATAAAGCTGCTGTGGAAAGACTTGTACAAGTATTTTTGTCAGTATATGCTTTTCTCATGTATAATTGCCTAGGAACTGAAATGGCTAGATCATAGGGTAGGTGTATATTTATCTCATAAAAAACTGCCAGATACTTTTACAAAGTGCTTGTACCATTTTACACTCTCACCAAAATATATGAACATTCTGGCCATCCATATCAATACCAGGTATTGACAATCTTTTTAATTATTTTGGTGGATACATACAGTGTCTTATGTGCTCATTTGTAATGCTATTTTAATATGCACTTACCTAATGATATTGGGCACGTTTTCATGTGCTCATTAACCACTTTTTTTTTTGGTAAAGTGTCTTTTCCAACCCTTTGCTCATTTTTGCTTTTTAATATTTGTCTTATTAAGTAGAAAGAGTTCTTTATATATCTTAGATACCAAGCCTTTATTAGATATGTTTTGGAAATATTTCCTCCTACTTTGTGTGTGGGCCATTCATTTATTAAAATAATGTATTTTGTGGGAAAGTTTTTCATTTTGATGAAACTTAATTTATCAGTGGTTTTAATTGCTTTTTGTCTGTCCCCAATGTTAGATTTTTGATATATATTGATTACTTATATATTGGTATATCCATTCAAATAAATTTTACTTTGATCTTGAAGCTTTCACACATTAGCCAGTGCTGCTCACTTAAGACTTTATGATGAATCCAAATAAATCTAAATATTTCAACTAAAAATATAGAGTAAGTAGTATCAGATTTTTCCCCCTTCCAACACCTAGGATATTTTCTAGTTTTGTTGAGTATTATATTTGGAGGATGGCAAGAGATAGCAGAAGTATATTATTAGGCAAGAGAGATGAAAGTATAAATTGCTATGGGAAAACCTCAAATTCTAACATTCCTCTGTCTTCTCTATACCTGTCATTGCCCACCTTCTCCTTCTTTTCATTGTTCTCTCCGACAGAAGGGGTCATTGCTTGTAGGTTTCTTGATTCCAACATTTTAGTAAAGTGTGGCCATCTAGAATTGCTACTATAGCTGAAATTCTATCTAAATTTTAAAGCCCACTGGAGAGTCTGGATAATGTATGAATTTACACTATTTCCGAAGAGACTGTCCGATGATATGTAGTAATAAAGCTACTTTAGAAGCCATTTGATATCCCTGTTAGAGCAAAGCAGTGCTTGTTTGGTAAAATGCCCCTAGCCTAAAATCTGCTTACTTTTCAGACCTATGAATCAGAATTGGGAGATGATCTCCAGTAGCATTATGGAAGAGTTATTTTATTATTTATTTTATTTTATTTCATTATTTTATTTTATAATGGAGTCTTGCTGTTTTGCACAGGCTGATATCAAACCTCTGGGCTCAAGGACTCCTCTCTCAGCCTCCCCTAGTAGCTAGGTTTACAGGTGTGTGCCACTGTGCCTGGCTGGAAGACTAATTTTAGATATTTATTTTTTAAAAAAGCTTTCATGGATTTTTATTTCATTAGACAAGCAGAGAAGCAAAAATGAAAATGGAAACAAAATCAAGAATCTCTCCCAACCAGAATCAAAATGGGTATTGTAGGTGGGATCAAGTATACTTGGGGCTCATCAAACAGAGTCAGTAAGTACAAGTTGTTTTACAAGGATTGGGAGGCCTAATATGCGGCGAATAATTAAAGAGTTTTGGTCGCAAAAAATTCCCACTTAATGGTCTAATGTTTACAAGATTTACCTGATCCTGGTTAGGAGACCTCTGGGTTGTCCAAAACAGTGATCTTCACAGGACTGAGGAATGAAGAATAATACCTCACCCAGTTATTAGTGAGAATTTTGTTCCTATTATACATATTGCAAATGGCTTGATGTGATATGAATAACTTTCCCAGGGTTGTCTTTTATTTTTGGCTTTAAAGGCTAAGTAAGATTAATATAAGATCTTCTCTTTTATCTAGAGGAGCCAATTGTGTGTCTGTGTGTATGTGTGTGTTTTGTGTTGGAGATGGGTTTGGTGGCGATGAGGTGGTCATGGAGGAGGAGGAGATTTAAGTACTTACAGAAAACATAACAGTTTTTCAGTAGCTTTCTTTGAGATCTATCAAGGTTTTCTTCCATGCCACTTTTCTTAACACAGGAGTCATATATATTTATGTTACCTGCTCAGTACCCACGTCAAGCTGTTCACATAATCAGGGGAGAAAGCTTTCAGGAAGCCAAAGATGTTTTTTAACTCCTTACGTGATGAAAAATTTCCTTTGGGATCTGAGGGGCCCACTTTCAGCCTACCACTTCCATTTATGTAAGCATTCCAATTATATGTACTTTTGAACTCTTGAGGCAGTAATATTAAAAAGTGAAGTGAGTTTAAGTGTTAAAGACGGTTTGTTGATGAACATCAGTGAATTGATTTTTATACCCTTTTCTTTACTCTTTTTTTTTTTAATTGTTACAGAAGAAGCTACTATGGAGGAAACTGGGCCAGTTTTAGCTTTTCAGGACTGTTGTCCTGGCTAAAGGAATATCAGGTAAAGTTTGTATCTGACATTTTAATTTGCTTAGTTGTATGTTACATAGTAACCCTACGTTGAAGAAAACCCTAAGCTTCTTCTGTAATACAGGATCGATTCTTTATTTTTATCTATTTATTTTACAAAAAATTATGCAGTCACCATTTCAGCTAATATTTTTCCCATGTTTTTATCCCTTTTTAAATATAAACAGAAGCTGGGAACGGTAGCTCATGCCTGTAATCCCAACACTTTGGGAGGCTGATCACCTGAAGGGGGCAGATCACCAGAGGTCAGGAGTTTGAGACCAGCCTGGCCAACACGGCAAAATCTTGTTTCTACTAAAAATACAAAAATTAGTCAGGCGTGGTGGCATGCGCCTGTAGTCCCAGCTACTCAGGAGACTGAGGCAGGAGAATCACTTGAACCCGGGAAGTGGAGGTTGCAGTGAGCTGAGATTGGGCCACTGCACTCCAGCCTGGGTGACAGAGGACGACTCTGTCTCAAAAAAAAAAAAAAGACATGTAAATATAAATGTTGGCTGAAGAGTAAACTGTATGTACTTAATAGCCATTTCCTAATTATTCTTTATGCCCAAATAAAAGACAGTAATTTTTTCCCTGAAATAATATTTAGAAAAGATATCCCAGTCCTTAGAAAATCTAACATTTACAGGTTGCTCTTAGAGTTAGTATATTTTGAACAAAAACCAAAATACTCCTAACAATTTGGGGAAGATAAATTAATTTGAAATAATCTCAGTGGTGGTTTTACACTTGTAGAGGTCACCTGACAGAATCAGCAAAAAGAAAAATCAAAGAAATTTAGTAGGAATTCAGTAATTACTTTCTAAGGGTAGGATCTCAATACTAAGCTGTTGAATACAATTATAAAGAAACTTTTTAGGGATCCTATATCGCATAAGATGGAGTGTCATTTATGGAGATTGCCAACTTTTATAAGACAGATTTAAAAAGTTGTCCTAATCTTATTCAGATGGGTACATGTGGCTTGAAATGAAATTTCTACTGAGAACATTATACAGAGAATCAGAAACTGCTGTATCTCAAAATAATTTAGAATGTTTAGAAAGGAGGATGATATAGTTTAGAAAATTGTATTCAGGGAGAGTGATCCAAGATGGCTGATTACTAGCAGCTCAAGATTGTAGCTCCCAGTGAAAGTGCAAAGAATGAGAGGACACCAAACTTCAGACGATTTTTTGTTGCTCATGGACCAGGAAATTGCCAGCGGAGGAGCCCCATGGGTCACCAGCGCAACTCTTGTGGCTGGTGTGGTGGTATTGCCAGCACCCTGGCATGGCGGTTCTTGGTGCAGAGTAAACGGGACTGGGTCCCCTTTTGGTCAACGTTTGGAGCTCCGGGAAGGCAGAGTCACCTATTCAGCTGATTGAAAAAGGGACTCAAGAAGGAAGCCAGACCGGAGATTCCCGGGAAGAAAAGCACCATGAATCTTAACGCCGCTGTTTTAGCCGGCGCAGTGGGTTGCTCAGATTCCAGCGCTGGGAATCAACAAGTTGGACATCCACTCAGAGACCTAATTTGAAAGTCGGTAATTACAAAGATGACAGGTGGATAAATTTACAATGATGGAAAGAAACTAGTGTGAAAAGGCTGAGAATACCCAAAATAAGAATGTCTCTCCCTCTACAGGGGATCATAGTTCCTCATCAACAATGGAACAAGGCCTGATGGAGAACGAGTGTGTTCCATGAACAGAATTAGGCTTCAGAAGGTGGATAATAAGAAAGTTCAGTGAGTTAAAAGAACATGTTCTAGCTTAATCTAAAGAAACTAAGAACCTTGAAAAAAGGTTTGACAAAATCCTAACAAGAATAGACAATTTAGAGAGGAATATAAGTGAATTAATGCAACTGAAGAATACAATACGAGAACTCTGCGAAATATGCATGGGTTTTAACAGTCGAGTTGATCAAGCAGAAGAAAGGATATCAGAGGTCGAAGACCAGCTTAATGAAATGAAACAGGAAGACAAGATTAGAGAAGAAAGAGTAAAAAGGAATGAGGAAAGTGTCCAGAAATATGGGACTATGTGAAAATACCTAATTTACATTTGATAGGTGTACCTGAATGTCATGAAGAGAATGAATCCAAGCTGGAAAATATTCTTCAGGATATTATTCAGGAAAACTTTCCTAACCTAGTAACACAGGACAATACTCAACTCCAGGTAATACAGAGAACACCACAAAGATATTCCTCAAGTAGAGCAACCCCAAGACACATAATCGTTAGATTCACCAGGGTTGAAATAAAGGAGAAAATTCTAAGGGCAGCTAGAGAAAAAGGTCAGGTTACCCATAAAGGGAAGCCTATCAGACTCACAGCAGATCTCTCAGCAGAAACTCTACAAACTAGAAGAGGGTGGGGGTCAATATTCAATATCCTCAAAGAAAAGAATTTTCAACCCAGAATCTCATATTCAGCTAAACTAAGCTTCATAAATGAAGGAAAAATAAATTTTTTTGCGGATAAGTAAGCACTCAGAGATTTCATCACCACCAGGCCTGCTTTACAAGAGCTTCTGAAAGAAGCACTATACATAGAAAGGAACAACCAGTATCAGTCATCCCAAAAACTTACCAAAAGTAAAGAGTATCTCCATAATGAAGAATCTATATCAACTAATGGGCAAAATAGCCAGCTAGCATTAAATGACAATATTAAACTCACAAATATCAATATTAATCCTAAATTTAAATGGATTACATGCCCTAAACAAAGACAAAGAAAGGCAAATTCAATAAAAAGTCAAAACCAGTCTATACACTGTATCCAGATCCATCTTATATGCAAGGACACACAAAGACTCAAAACAAAGGGTTGATGGAAGACTTGTCAATCAAATGGAGAGCAAAAAAAAGCGGGAGTTGTAACTTTCATCTCTGACAAAATTGAGTTTAATAGTAACAAAGACTAAAAGAAACAAAGAAGGACATTACATAATGGTAAAAGGATCAATGCATCAACAGGAGTCAATGATCATAAATATATATGCACCCAATACAGGAACACCAAGATACATAAGACAAGTTCTTAATGACTTATAAAGAGACTTGGACTCCCGCACAATAATAGCGGGAGACTTTGACACCATATTGTTAATATTCGATGGATCAACGAGATAGAAAATTAACAGGAACATCTATGATTTGAGGTCAGACCTGGAACAAGGAAACTCAGCGAATATTTATAGAATTCTTCACCCCAGGTCTACAGAACATACATTTTTCTCAGTATCACATTACACCTATTTTGAAAGTGACCACATAAATGGTAGTAAATCACTCTTCAGCATTTGCATAGCATTTCACAGACTTTAATGAAATATTGGTTGGCTGTTCGTTATTTTCTTCCCTTATTCCTTCCTGTCTCCACTGTTTAGCACAATTATCAGCATAAAAGAGGTTTTTAATACCTATTTTTAGATTGCATTCCAGCCTGGACAATAGAACAAGACTCCTTTTCTCTTTTCCCCCCTTTCTCTTTCTCTTTCATTCTTTCAAAAAAGAAAAAATGATTATTCTTCCTCTACTGATAAGGAATTTTATTTTTACATACCCCCCATGCCATTATCACACATTATTACATTTGAAAAAGGTAATCTCGACACCTTAAAAAACGCTCTATATTCAAATACTCCATAAAATATAGTTACTGAAAATTTTAACAGACCACTCTCAACTTGTCTTTCTTGTTTTATAATGTATTCATGGACTAATTACTATAAAGCCCTTAGTTATACTGGGCTAAGTATTTTTCAAAAGTACTTTTACATGTAACCAAAACTTGACATGACTAGTGACCAACCTTCAAAGATCTGAAAATAAATAGATGAAGTTATTTTGACTCTGCTGTTTCGACCAAAAAAATATAAAAAAACAAAAAACAAAAAACCCTCTGTTTTTATTAACAAGTAATGTGTATAACAGATGTAGTTGATTCTCAGCAGATAGAGGGTTAGTTGTCCTAGTTCTTAAGCAATGTCCAAACAGCCAAGTCTGAATGCCTTTTCCAAATTTCATCTACCCTGATTGAAATCTGTAAATCAGAGCTAGTTTTTGATAATACAGATTTTACACATTGTTTTGCTCTTCTTTCTTTGAATTTGGAACACTTGTTGGACTTTGTTTGGTGACTCTGAGTGATATCCTTTGAATTTTGGTGAGAGGAAATGAGCATGAATTTAGGTAAGAGGTGAATTTTCTCAAAAAATTACCTATTTCACACTGGCCACTTCCATTAAAACTTCTTATCTGTGTTTTGTTTAGGAAAACAGTGACATTGTAAATGACAGTCCAGTGTGGCAATACCATATCCTTGAAAATGAAGAAGCCATTGCTCTTAGCAGGAAGGACAAAACTATTCAACATGTGGAAGTATTTTGTTATGCCAGGTATGAAAAATCTTTACTGAAGGTAAACTAAGTTAATGACTTTTTAACTCTTCTTCAGAAGAAGCCAACAATAAAGATTCATGTGGCAGTGGCTGCTGCAAGGCACATTGATATGTTGGTTTTGCCTGTTTTTATTGATTGATTGATTCATTGATTGATTGATTGTGCAATATTTTACTAAAGGTCGTTACCGAGCAACATCCAGACTCCAGAATGCAGCTGCCAAGAAGACCCTGCTGTGGGGACTGGCTGGGTCCTGGGAGGTGGCTCTGGCTTCCCACCCTTCTGTTCTGAGATGGGGGTGGTAGGCAGTATCTCATCTTTGGGTTCCACGATGGTCAGGCAGGGGCTGGTTTTGCCTGTTTTTAAATGGAACTTTCAGTTTTCTCTTTTTAGGTAGTAGTGATAACATCTTACCTTAATGCCTTTGAATTTATTTACCAAGCTGTTTTAAATATATTATCTCATTTCATTAAAACAATTCTGTGGTAGGGTAGGGCAGATAGTAGTACTAATAGTTGGAGTTTTTACAGAATCCTCAATGAAGCTTAAAGAGATTAAGTAGTTTGCAGAAGGTCACATGGCTTGGTAAATGGCAGGGCCACACCCAAGCTCCTAAGATTAAATTTCAGAGCTTTTTCCTCCTGCTCCAGTGTTCTTCCAATTGTACCATCTTTCTTGGATAATACTCAGTATAGCAAAATGGAAGATTATAAGTTTTGAATAAAAGTATTAAATCATGTCCATAATGTTTGAGTACATATCTTGGTAAATTAGGATAGAACAGTGGGAAGTTACAATGTTTTAAGTATCTCCCTCTGAGTGAGAGATTCACTGTTTAAAAACGATTGGAATAGTTTACTTTTTCAAATGACATATGATCTACAGGTTGAAAGGTAATAATCACATAGTTAAATCATTCAAGTAGTTACAGAGTCCAGAGGTTTAGAACATCAGACTGGCAGGCACTTTAATAGTAATTAAAATTTAAAATTTAACACACCAGAGATTCTTTAGGATATGCTTTGTCATCTTACACATCACTGTCGTGGCATAGTGTTAAATGTGAGCCTGTGAAAAGTTTGGCAACATGTGCTTAACTTGTTAACCTATGTTCATATCTTTCATGTGAGTAACATTTTTTCCTCATACTGTACAGTTTGTGTTCTGTGATTTTCTGCAAAAGCACAGCCTTTGAAATATTAGGTATAGATTATAATTTGTATAATGCTAAATTCTATTTGGTATTTAAAGGTACAGCTCACTAGATATTGTTCAGAGCCAGTGCTGAAAGATTTAAAAAAGAAGATGATTTTAACTGAAAAGACATATGCCTTAATGAAATGAGGAATAAATATTTGGTAACTTTCTTGTGTGCCCATGAATAATACTTCACTACAGTATAGTGACAGTCACACTGGCCTTCTGAAAGGTATTATACTTTTGTTACTTCAAGGCCTCTGATTACTTTTTATGATAATTGAGGTTAATAGTTTCTAATGGCTGAGTTTATGCATTTTGAAAACAAAGAAAATTATCTCGTTTTCAATTCCTGATCTCTTCAGTTTCATTTGTGTAACTTCTCAAAGTGAGAAAGTAAATGGTTGGTGGTGGAAGGTTTGTTTGAAGACAGTGAAATAGAACTCTGTTATATGTTTCTCTTGCCAGTTAGAATGTGGAGCAAAAAGTGAATGGGGATAATGATCTATACATCTTAATTCACTTGGAAAAGTTAGCTGGTTATTACTGTCATAGTAAGCAGGAAAAGCCTTGAGAACATCCAGGAAAGCAGAGAAAATACAGAAAATCCATCTGTAAGGGCTGTCTATAGTAAGTGCTGGCAACGTGGGTAAATAGGACTAACAATATCTCAGATAACCCCAGCAACACTGTGGCATCCTTAATCTATCGGATCATATTCACAAACCTGTAATTATATGAAAGGGGCTAGGGCCAAAATAGCTGTCACAAAGTTTTACATTATATGAGAGGTCATCACCGGCACTCACTGACTTAAATCGAAAGCCTTATTTATTTAATACATATTTCTGACAACCTCATTTTCTCTCTCTCTCTCTCTCTCTGTGTGTGTGTGTGTGTGTGTGTGTGTGTGTGTTTCTCCTAGCATTGAAGTTTAAAGCAACAAATAGGAAAGGGTTATCTGCTAGAAGCAAGCACACTGAGAACCACATGGAGACTAGTCCTTAACTTGCTATTTACTGAGCAAGAGACGTCTCTATTTTGAGTCTGTGTTTTGCCATTAATAAAACATGAAGGGTTTGGACTAGATGATCTCAGAAGTCTCGCTGGGCTCTAATATGCTATCATTTGAAGTGCTACTTGGTAGACTAATAAAGGAGAAGACAGCAGCGGCAAACTGAAAGCAGACTTTGGGCCATTTAGTGTATGGGTAAATGGCTTTTCATATCAGAAGATACCTCAAGGCCATCACTATATTATATAGTACAGTAAAATAGTTGATGATCCTAATTGTACCCCACTGTCTTCAGGCAAAATTAAATAATATTCTTTATCCTCCACTTAAAAAAGTAGAGGATTTGAAGTACATTTTAGAAAGATGAGTATTAAAAATGGTTAGAATAAAAATTGTACCATTTTAAGAGATGAGCTTTTGTTATCTACAAAATTCTCTTATTTCCTCTAGAGTAAGAATATCACTATATAGTAGATCTTTAACATTCTTGAAGGATACATTGCAAGGTCTTCCTGGATACTGTTTTGTAAGTAATGAGAAATATGGTACAGGTTTCTGGATTTTTGTTCTTGCTTTTTGAAACATGTGTTATTGATGTTAATGTTACGTTTTGCGGATATGGAGTTAGTTTGTGTGTATTTAGTTCCATACAGTTTTGTCACATTCGTGTTTGTGTATTCACTGTTACAGTCAGGTTATAGAGCAGAACAGTTCCATCACCACAAGGATCCCTACTACTGTTTTTCAGTAAACACATCTGATCTACTTCTTACCTCTACCATCCATAACTCCTGACAAACACTAATCTGTTTTTCATCTCTATAATCTTATCATTTTAAGAATATTATGTAAGTAGAACTGTATACTATGTAATATTTTGGCATTGGCTTTTTTCACTCAGCATAATTCCCTGGAGAGTCATCCAGGTTATTGTGTACATTAGTAGTTCATTTTTCATCACTGAATTACTATTCATTACAATTAATGTAATGTAATATTTATTACAATTAATTTTGATAATTTTGATAATTCCACAGTAACGTATTTACTACAGTTTGTTTAATCATTCACCCATTGAAAAACATCTGACTTTTTAGTTTTTGCTATTATAAATAAAGCTACAATTCATTTTTGTGCATGAATTTTTATGTGACTTTGTCTAGGATAAAAGTTTTCATTTCTCTGGAATAAATACCCAAGCTTGTAATTGCTGGGTCATATGGTAATTGCATGTTTAGCTTTAAAAGAAACTACTGAGATGTTTCAGAGGATCTGTAGTTACATTCCCACCAGAAAATGTGAGTAATCCATTTTCTCCACATATTTACCTTAATTTGGTGTTGTCACTTTCCTATTTTGGCCATTCTGATTTCTGATTTTGAATATTTTTTCATGTTCTCTTATTTTCCATTCATATACCATTTTTGATGACGTGTCTGTTCATGTCTTTTGCTTGTTTTTAAAACTGGATTCGTTTTTTACTGTTGAGTTTCAGAACTAAAAAAAAGAAAACAACAATTCTAGATATGTGTCCTTTGCGAGATATGTGGTTGGAGAATATTTAACCCAAGTCTCCAGCTTTTCTTTTCATCCTCTTGAAATAGGATATTTTACAGAGCACATATTTTTAATCTTGATGAGGCCTAATTGATCAATTGGATTATTCTTTTGCTGTGAAGTCTGAGAACTTTTTGCCTACCTATAGATACAGACTTTCTCTTATTTTTTAAAAAAATTATATTTTTATGTTGTATGTTTTAGTCAGTGTTCTTTTTTGTTTTTCAGTCTAAGGATATCCAGTTGCTTCAACACCATTTATAGGTGTTGAATTACTTTTGTATCTTTGTCAAAAATCAGTTGGTTAGACTTGGGTGAGTCTATTATGAGGTTCTTTATTCTGTTCCATTGATCTATATGTTTTTTCCTCCACCAATACCGCATTGCCTTTATTACTGCAGCTATGCGATAAGCTTTACTATCAGGTAAATTCCTCCCAATTTATTTTTCCTTGTCAAGGTTGTTTTATATATTCTATAGTTGTGCCTTTCCATATAAATGTTTAAATAAGCTTGTGTATGTCTAAAAAAAAAAACCTTGCTGAGATTTTGATAATAATTGCCTTAATACTACAGATTAGTTTGGGAGGATTGACCCCTTTATTATTTTGTGTCTTCCAATCTATGAACATGGTATGTCTCTCTGTTTATGAAGCTCATCTTTGATTTTCTTCAATAGAATTTTGTAATTTTTAGCATACTGATCCTGTACATTTTGTTAATTGCATACCTAAATATTTAATTTTCTTTTGACCAATTATAAATGGTATTGTCTTTTTAATTTTGGTTTTCACATACTCATTCCTACTGTGTAGCAGTGCACTTGCCTTTTATGTTTTGATCTTGGATGTTTCTTGAAATCTTCCTGAATTAACTTCCCAATTCTGGAAGCTTTTTTGTAGATTACTTGGGATTTTCTATCTGGACAATTATGTGTTCAGTAAAGAGAAAAAGTTTTATGCTTTTCTTTCCACTGGTTGCTTTTTTTCTTTGTTGGTTTAGTTTTGCGTTTAAGAATCTATTTTCTGTTGTGAGTCATGGGTTTTCTATTCACAGCCATATGGCACAGGTTAATTGTGTTTTCTACTTATCCTTAGGCTCATTTAATGAGCCCTATTTTTTTTTCCCAGAAAAGAAGTTGTCATCACTTCTTGAGGACATTTTAATTATACCCTAATGCTGGGCAAGCATTTGAGGTCTCACATTTGCTGAATATATTGTTCTTGCAT